CTATTCCACTGTATTCCACCATTTAACAGATTGTAATCAGTAACAAAGTACTGCCAGTCCTACAAGCACCTACTTACAGGAGCTGCGCTTCAGTGGGACTGAAATTAGAAGGGCTATTTGGAAAAGAAGGGTTTGCAGTAATTTCTAAATCCCCCCTCCAGGATCCTGCTATGTATTTATTCGTCCACCACAAAAATGTAAAATATATTTCTGTATTTTATATTTTTCTAGGTGAGTATATGTGGTGTTTTCCTGTCAAGTGTCAAGATCTGGAAGACAGTCTTCTCCCACGCAGACACCAATCCCTCTGGGTGCACAGTGGCCACAGCTGTGTGTGTGCTGGGTGGCTCCGAGTGCCTGGGGCCCAGGGCAGTCCTGCAGGTCTTCCCCTGGAAGAGAAGCCTGCAATGGCCTTCAAGAGATGAGCCCTGAGATTTCAGCCCTCGCTTCAGGAGGGTGGCACAAAGCTGGCAGCTGTTCTGGGTCATGTTCTGGGGGCATTTTATGCCCTGGGTTGGCAAAAACATAAAAAGCTATGGACTTTATGCACCTAGGAGGTTTTGAGGAAGACTCACATGGGTGCCTGAAAATCCCCAGTCCCACTTGTAGATTCTTCCATTGATTTAGATCCACATTCTTAGCATGAACTGCAGTGATGTCAGTGGAGTGATGCAATTTGCACCAGCAGAAGATTATCCTGAGTGCATTGACCACCTGCTTAAAAGCCTTTGCAGTTATACAGAAACCCGTTAAGAACTGACACAGGAGGAGGAGCTCTTCAGAGCAACCCAAATGCAGACATTCAGCTTCTGCCTCTCCACAAAAGCATTTCCCACTCCACAGCAAAACATCCCTGTGAAATGCATGGATCTTCTCCTTCCCTGAACTGCATGCAGAGCTCCCCAGGTAATGCCTACATCCTATTTGGCTCAGTTGCTGTATATTTGTTGGAACAAATTCAGACTTAGTAAACAGGTGCTCTGTTGGGTCCACACTGAGCGAGCATAACTTGCTTCTCTGCACAGGACTTGTTTGAGCCGTTCTGACTTTTGTCAGATGGAGAGGATTACCTTTAGACCACACTGTGTTCCTGCATTGATGTGCATGGTGCTACAGTCTCTCTTTCATTGACTCCTTGGTGAGATAACCCTGAGTGAAAGCTGTGAGTTGTGTGTTTTCAAAGACCTCCTCACTCAGAGGATATATAGAAAAACATGTAGGGAAGGTGCCCAAACCTACGTGTAATTTAGACATTGATCTTAAATGGTGCAAAACGAGCAGATCAGGACAGACAGATAATCAGGTCTTCAGTAAATAGGTGCCATCCTATACCAGAACTGGATTTTATTTGTCAGGTGGGTGAGGAAAGCACCAGGGTTTTGGGCACCCACACTGTTTCGGGCAGGCTGAAGGTGCCCTACAGTTATTTATATGGAGAATTCTCTTGCACATGCTACATCCAGCTCAAAGAAACCCACGAGCCTTGTTTTGGAAAATAAGTCTGATACTGCAGAAGTTTGGCTGTCCTGTTTTCTAATTCTCTGTATGTTGCATCAAACAGTGGTGACCACTTTCTTTATAAGAAAGGACCACCATGTTTTGCCTCTCCCAATGTTTTGAACTTAACATCTCACAAATGAGCTGTTCTGCAACTATTTTAGTGAATTCTGCGTCATTTAGCAGGTGGTCATATGTAGTCCTGGCTGTGACTAAAATAATTTCTGTGTTTTCTTCATGTTAAATTCATTTCCAGGGTCATATTTAACTTTTAGCTTTGGTGATCTACCTCTGCACTGCATTCACGTTATTAGACTGTGCTCTCTGCACCCTGTGCAAGGTGTAACACCATTCCTGTGAGGCTCAGATTTCCCGTGTCCCTCCCTCTGCATATGGCCTGTTCATACGCCTGACCGCAGGAGACTGCCTCTCCTTGCAGACATTCACTGAAATCAATCAACAGTCCCCCTCACACTCCTCACCCTCCATGCTGCAGCCAGATTGATATTTCTTATGGGCTTTGCAAGTATCTTTCCCTGACAAGAGCAGTTCATCCTCATTTGACCTTTCTGATACAAAGACAAAGGTAACTCAAGGCAAAGATGGGTGTCAGGTAAGTCCTCTTAGCTAATAACTACCTTGAAATGCCTTTGTAAACACTCCTGGGGAGACAGTCTGTGCTGTTCTGCAGTGTGATGCAACATTGACTTGTTGCACCTATAAAACATCCTAATAATTGTGTGCAACTGAGTGTGAACCAAGCAGTTGGATGCATTTCATCAAACATAATTAATCCAAAACAGAGCAGCAGAAATAGTCCTCTTATCTTGCCTAAGGGTTGAGATAAATATAGAGTACCCTAGAATCAAAAAAGAGATTAAGCAGATGCTCGCTAGTCTGTGAATTCTTTTATAATGCAAAATTGGCTTTTATCTGTCACTGTCTATTTTCATTGAGGGCTCATCACTGTGCTGCCTGCGTGCTTTGATAAATGACAATAAATATATTTAGTGTATGTTCAGTCCATTAAAAAATCCAGTTATTTCAAATAATTTGAGAACAAAGGAAAAACCATGGAAGAAACTGACATTTACAAATGTCTACTGTGCAAGTCTGGCCTGTAACTAGCTCTTCAACTATCCTAAAAAAGGAAGGAAAATACAAAGAAAAAGTAATTAAAAGATGATAGAGCTCAGGTTGCATGATCTGTCCTATGAAGAGTGTGCCATTTTCTAATGGTGCTTACATATGCTCTCCTTTATCCTCACCTACGGCAATGTAGCATTCATTTAAAATAAAGCAGCAGAATTTCTCACAGAAATGGCCTGGTGAGGTGGGGAAAAGAGTAAGAAACTTTCTGCTCTGTGTCTGAAAGAGTCAGCTTTGGTCTATAGATTATGAACAGAAACATCCCAGCACCTCTTTCTCCTCAGCCAGCAGAGCAGGCCGACATAATGCAGAGCCCGAGGCATTTGGGTTGAAAATATAGTGGTGCTGGTGAGATTTTAATGCCTCTGCGCCCGAGGTCCCGGGGCATTGTGTGGCTGAACGAGCTGGCTGCGCTGCAGCCTGGAAGCCTCATTCCCTCTGCAGAATAGACAGTGGCCAATGGTCTGCTCCAGACCACAGACCAGCTTTAGAAGATGAATAACATAAACATGTTCAAACTGTTTATTTCATATAACACAAAGGGTTCGGTTTATTCTTTACAATAAGAAAGGAACACTTAAAGATAAGAAATCTAGGCTCTTAAAATACATTCAAGGCTTTGGACTCCAAGTAGAAAATGTTGAAGGCTAGATATGAAACAAAAACCACAACCTCCCTGTCCAACCCAGACTATGCAATTACAATAGATCCTTTGCAGATTCCAGCAATTTGTTGACTCTCTTATCTTTGCATTTTCTATACGTTGTCAGTTTTAACTGAACGCTGAATTTTTAAAGGTATGGAAGTATCTTGCAAGTGCTTATCTGCATTTTGAGGCATCTGTTTCTCTCTTGGAAAACCTGGCCTTTACTTGCTACACAGATGCATCCTTCAGTTTAAACCCACTTTATTCCCTCACCATGGCTGTATCATCGATTTTAGTATGCTGGAGCTGAGGTGGTACCTGTTCCCTCCTCTTTGCATATCTAGAGCATCTGTGCTCTCTGTCAAGAACGAGGTCAGAAAGTGAGCACGGGAGTATGTCAGATTAATATGGCAAAGGCACCTCAGTTCCTGCAGCCCACAAGGAAGTGAACGTCATTATCGTTAACAGCATATCATGCTACCCCAAATGACAAGGAACCTATTTGTAGCCACATCATCAGGAAAGCAGCTTTCAACAGGAGTCCAAGTCTGAATATGTGCCCCTTAAACACCAGGTAAAAGCTCGAGTAACATTTTATTTTCAGGAATGCACCCCTGGTTTTGCAGCTATGTCACTGAGAGCAGAATCCAGCTCAAGAAGATCTGAAAAGAAGGGAATAATGCTGCAATAACGTTGTCAGACTTGCTGCCCTGGCAATGAATGTTTGTCTCGCACAGCCCTCCCAGTGAGTAATGTTTAAAATAAATAAATACTGCTGGGGAGTTGCTGTTAGGGCGATTGTTAGGTTTCATTCTTGTGGCAAGCTTTTTATCATAATACAGCAGCAGGAGTACAGTATGTTTGCAAGGCAAGTTTGAACCAGGGCACAAAAGTACATAAAGTCTGTTAATAAATAATGGACTCCGTGCATATTTCTTTTGCAGCGTGGCTTAAAAAATCAGCCCTTTGAAGGTTAAAAAATATGCAAGTACTATTCAAAAAAAAAAAAGGAGGAAAAGATTTGATTCCTACTGCCTGGGAATGTCAGAAATGTTCTCTGAGGGAAGTGGGGATCCTGAGGAATGATGGTAGCTAGAATAGCGCCTTGTTGATTGTACAGTGACTCTGTTTGCACTCTGCCATTTGTAGCGTTCAGTATCAGTAGTGGCAATGATACTAACGCTTCCTCATGAACTGTGATGCCTTGAATTTCTTAGCTATACCTGAAGACCATTATATTTTCAGAGGGCTGGATCCTCAGCTGAACTCAGATATGCTGACATTTCATGGAGTTGAGGGGGCCATACCATAGAGAGGTCTATAGCTCATCATTATGTTGGGTTTATGAGCTAGCAACAGCAAAGGCCTACATCTTAACCTTTCGAATGTAAGGACACAATAGAATAGAAGAGAGAGCCTGAGGTTCCATAATTTTGCTGTACAAAGTTCACACTAGTTCTTAATTTCACTGAAGGTGAAAGGTTGCAAGGCAGATGAAGTCATTGACCTCAATGGGCAGGACCTCCTCCTAAACAGTACATGCCAGGCCTTTCTGTAACAAGACGAGTGCATATTAGCAGAAAACGCTGCTTTGCCTGGATTGAGAATTACCTGATGCCAATCTGGGCATCTCATACCAGGAGATAATTCACTTGCAAATAAATCATTACAAAGATTTATGAAAATATGAAAAAAATGAAACACTTACTTGGTCCAAGACCTATGGAAAATGCAGCAACATAAGCAAGTAGGCTGGCCAGTGAGAGCCATTTCAGAACAACAGGAACTTCCCCGCTTTCCGTGTGAGATCCTGTAGTGCTTTTGCCCCCTGCCAGCGCAGTCCTGTTCTGTTCTCCTATCCTGGCAATGTCGGGCTTTCTCTGCATGTTGAATGATATTCTTTCCTGTGAAGCCATACTAGCAAAGAGGTCCTTGAGACTGTCATTGGTGAGACTGCTCAGGTTTCCTGGTCTATGAAGAAAGGAATCCTCCAGAGACTGGCTTTTACAGACATTGGTGAAATTCACATGTATGTTACGGTTCACTAACCCCATGGTGACCAATGCTACTGCCATAACAGAAGAGCCAATACAGAGAAATGTTTTACTTCCAAGTTGATCCACAAACACTGTGGCTGGGACTGTGCTCACCACTTTAACCACTCCAACTCCAGTAGAAGCCAAACTAGCAGCTTCATTGCTTTGGAACCCAACTGACTTCAAAACAGTAGATGCATAAAATAAAATGTTAGGTTGTCCAGTTGTTTGCACAAAAAAGACTAGAGTAAGTCCTACCAACATTCGGGCCCTCATGTTGTTTTTTGAACGAAATAGGTCCAAGAAACTATACTGATGTTCATCTTTCAAAGAAGACTTGATCACAGTAAGTTCTTTGGTAGCATCTGAAGTTTCCCGTAGCCTCTCCAGTACTTTTCTTGCAGCTTCATCATTATTTTTCATAACAAGAAACCGGGGACTTGGAGGAAGGAAATACATGGCAATAGCTTGCAAGGCACCTAATGGAATCACAAGGCCAAACATATATTTCCAGCCATGAGATACACTGGCAAATGCGTAATTTGAAATATAGGCAAAAAGAATGCCTATCACAATCATGAGTTCATTTAAAGACACAAGAAGGCCTCTTCTGTGCTGTGGGGCGATCTCAGCAATATATACACATGTAGCAATTGATGATAATGATATGGAAATACCTATGGCAATCCGTCCCACAATAAGTATTCCATAGGATTCATAGGGCAGTAAGATCAGACTCCCCAAAACAAGTAAAGAAGATGCAATAATAATAGCAAATCTCCTTCCAAATCGGTCTATCAGGAATCCACCAGTAAGGGATGCAAATAAGGCCCCAAAAAGAAGGGAACTTACAACTATTTCCTGTTCTTTGCAAGAGAGCAATAGTATGTTGCTCATCTGAAGAAGAGCTCCAGAGATAAGTCCCAGCTCATAACCCATCAGAAGTCCACTTACGGCAGCAATCACAGATGACAGGAAAGTAAATGTTCCAAAGCCTGAAATTAGAGAAAAAGAAAAAAAAAACTTAAAATCTAAGGTGTGATTTTTGAAACTCTCTGACAACTAATATGAAGGTTATTTTATATACCAGTCCTAAAAAGCTTATTTTAACTTTTAGGCAAAGCAGTTTATTGCATATGAACCCAGGAGAAGTGGCCACATAAAAGGTGTTGGTTTTGAAAGCAACTATATATATATATAAAATTTCTAATTCTTATAATTTCCTCTTTAATGGTAATGCTTTTCGGCTCCTGATCTAACTAGTCAATATGGTTTTGGTAAGGCTTTAAATAAGTAAATCTTCTACCTCAAAATATCATTGCAACAGGCAACACAATACAAACTTTTGGGTAAGAAAGCAATTTTTGCCTTGAGACATTCTCAGTATTTTTCATGTGCTCAACTGAGGGGCCACAGAAAAGAGTAAACTGTGTAGCCCATCAGGTCGTGTTCACCCAGCTAGTGCACCATGGGCAAGGAAAGCATTAATTTCCAGGCAAACTGCCTCAACCCTGACTTGAATAAGCAATAAGGTAAGTTTTCCTTCACCATTTGCTAATTCCTTTGCTTCACCTGAGGATGCGATGGTTGCTGCTGGTGCCAGGGGTGTTTCTTTGCCATATGGAAGCTCATCCACTGACCTCTAGGCTGATCAAGATAGCCTGCATGTTCTAGGGAAACTAGTCTTTGAGGTACAAATTCATGAACTCTGTGGACTTTGTTCATTACTAATCTCAGATTCTTTGGAATATCAAGATCAGATATCCTGCATAGTTTATAATGGCCATAATGTCAGGAATAAAAAAATAGATGGTGAAAATAATAAACCAAGTGGAGATTATATGCCTTTGAATGTCCGCTTTAAAATAAACTCATTTTATACAACTACGAGTCATTGTTTATTATTGCAAGATAGATTTAACTGATCTTACTCTACTAACTGTGAAGCCTTTGCACCCTAAACTTTGAGGCAAATATTTCAGTTTGTTATTGTTGGGTTTGTTCTTTCTCTCAGCATGATTTTCCTCTCACTATGAAGCTGGCTGCCACACAACTAGGAAAGGAATAAACTGATTTCTGATTTTCTAGTTATTTGGAGAGATAGCATGTGTCTGAGGAGAGGTGACTTTTGCAGCATAACAAAGTCCATATTTCAGTTAATTCTCCTGAAACGAGTACTTCCTTAGCTGGAAAGTGGTATAAGGTCTAACTTACGATGCTAGGCTTTGTTTATTTTTAGCTTGTTTTTCTAAGGCATTAAGGCTCTTTGATCATGCTGACTGCCGGATGCTTCTTGCTGATAACTTTTGAGCACAATGGTGAGAATCAGTCTCATTTGAGAGAGTTTATTACATTTCTAAATAAAATTTTTAGGAGAGAAAGAGAGAGACCCTTGAGATATGTCTGTACCACTAAACTAGCACAGGCTTGGACCCTAGAACAGGACGACCTGTCTTGTGAAACTGTTAGCATGGTACTGTCATCATTGTGCTCCATGCCTCCTAGCACTCTTCTAACAACTCCCAGATACCACTTGGCTAGTGGTGTGAGCCCAGGATCACTCCCTGCATGCAATCCTCTTCTGTGCTCTGGTGGCTGAAACACCAGAGACAGGTGAAACAGGGTTTTGCTGTGATGGGCCACAAAAACATGGGGGATACGGGAGTATTGTGAAAAGTCTTTCAGAAGATGGGGGGTGGTGGGCAGATTTATTGTGACAGAGAAGGGACAAGTTGTAAGACTTACAGGACATAACTTTATGAGAAACGAATTTGCAAGATACTCTGGTGATGTAAAAATCTTTTTTATTGCTGTCGCCCGTGGCTGTATTATATCTAAAGCTTTTTCTTCTTTTATGTGTGCAATATCCAAGACCATTGCACTTAATTTAAACTGGGTTTAGTACAAGGTTCCATTGTGAGCTAGACCTCTGGTGGAAGTACTCTTGACTTCAGTGAAGCTGCTTTGAGTTACCCGTGCTCCATTCTCCAACACATGCACTCAAATATGCGTTTTATCATTGTAGAAACTACTTTCTCCCTCCCTCTTTTTGCCTTTTTAATTTGCCTGCTTGCTATGTATTACCAGATCTGGAAAATACATCCTTCCAAGGAGTCCTGGCTGCAAATCAGGTCTGGTAAAACATAGTGTTGTGCTTAATGAATGAGCTTGGGTATCAGAAGCAATATTGTTAGTTTTATCCCAGGGCTCTGTCCAGAATAAACCACACTGCTGCTCAGGGCCGATACTTGTGCTTGCTCGGATATCCCTGTATTTCACTTCACTGAACTATGTAGATTTAACCTAAGATTTTGCTTTGATTTATATAGTATGAAATCAAGAGAGACCATTGTCATCATCGAGTCTGACACTTCTGAACAGCACTGTACCACACTTTGGACATATCTAAATGACTTTTTATTCAACTAGGCCATGTAATATTCAGTTTTGATTTAAAAAATGCTAGTGAATGAAAATCAATGTCCTTAAGTTGTAAGTTGTTCCAGTGGTTAATTGTTTTCACTGTAAAATATCTTTAAAGTATTTCTAGACTTAATTTCTGCAGCTTTGATTTCCAGCCATCAGATCCTGTTCTCCATTTTCCTACCCTTATCTTTGTTCATAAGTACATCATGATTGCCTGTCACCGAGTCATCCCACAGATACCTCCTTGGTTTGTGAGTCTTCACAAGTTTACCAGTCTCTTACCTATCCAAAGCCCTGTTCTCTAAACTCTCCCCAGACTATCAGTTTCTCTAATAAATTGTGAACTGGACCCAGTATTCCTGCAGTAGCTGCTCAGTGTGAAATACAAAGTTTCCTTATTTGTCCCACTCCTGGTGCAGATTTCCCTGCGGTGCAAGGCTTTCCTTTGTCTATGGATTCTCACAGCAGTGACAGGAACTCATCTGCAGCTGATTACTCTTCAGGACAACCAGTTTCTTTTCTGACAGGGTTCTTTTCAGGACACTCCCTTTGCTTTAAATAAGGCCTGCATTTTTGTATCCTACTTAGGAATGCAAATTGCTCTGTATTTTGCTGTGTTAAAATACATAGGAAGGAGGGGTTCGACTTACCTAACCATAAGAGAACTATTGCTTGTCTAGACTTCTGTAATCACTCGCAAAAAATAGGCACTTCTAGATGTTTAAAATAGGTCAAATGCTTATTTTTCTCCATTGACTATAAGAGGAATCTGCATGGTTTGCTCAGATGCAGATGTCTAAAGTTAGCCAAGAGGAACTCCAGCCATCACATTCACTTGTAGTCAGCAGACTAAGCCATCCAAATTTCATTCAGCCAGTGACATATACCATTTTTTACTCACCCATCACCTTCATCACCTGCAAATATTATTATCCATGATTATCTTCTTCCAGGCAATTGATAAAAATCTCAATTAACAGAGGGACAAAACCCGTGTTTAAGGATCTCCAGCAGAAAAACAGCAGCGTGGGGTGCCTCTCCTGTTTATACTGTGAGATCTGTATCCTACATTGGTTTTAATCTTCTGATGTGTGACATGTCAGTGTTGTATGGTTCTAGTTTCTTAGTCAAAAATACAGTGACAAGTCAAATATCTGAAAGGAGTCTGTCATCAGCACTGTTCTTTATGACCTAGACTGTCCTCTCCTCAGCCTGTAGTCCTCAGATCAGTGCTATGGTGGTGATAATTTATTTTTAATCAGAGAGACTGTACAAGCGGGAGATGCAGCTTGGAAACCTGGAAAGTTGCTAGTGAGGCACCCAAAGCCGTAGAGTTTTCAGCCTTATACCACTAGGAGGTTTTATTGTAACTGGGAGTGATCTCATTCACTGTACCTGAGACCTGCCTGCTCAGAATTGCCTAAACGCCTGACTTAAACGCCGAAATCTCTGCTCAGTTTTCCTTCACGCTCTTTCTCCAGACAAAATTCCCTTTGACTTCAGCATGTGTTTTGCTTTAACATTTCAAGATAAAGCACGTTGCAGTAGTTGTACTCACAATCCTTTTAAGTGTCATTTTAAATGATATTTCTGGCAGTTCTTAGGCATTCCTTTAAAAAAAAAAGCTTCTCAAAACTTATGTTCCTCTTATTTTTATGAGATGCCTGAAAAATACATGGCAGTGTGCAGCCCAAGGGAAAAAAAATATTTTAATGATGGCTTCCAGAGAAATTTCTCCTTTTGCCTGCAATAAACACCGTAGTTAGCGGGTGTGTAGCTGGTATGTAACAAGTGATTGGAAAGTCTATTTGTTAGTTTCTCCATGTAAACAAAATGGTTTCTCACCACTGTTACTCAGGTCAAAAGCAGCACTACTTGGCAAACAAACTTATCTTTAAGAAAGTTTGCTGGAAATGTTTATGCTTTGTGCCTGAAAGGGAGACCAACTGCAGTCATAGTATAGCACCATGTTCTGCTTCTGGGACTGGATGTTGGAAGCAAAGATGTTAGCAAGGGTGTGCCCCTTTCTACTTATTTTCAAGCACATACTTGGGGAAATACTATCCTTCCAAAGGCAAAATATTGGCCTCTGCATGTATTTTACGAGCATTATGGATAAATGATCTTTGCCAGGGAAGGTTTACAGGGAGTCTGAGCTGGGAAAGAGCACTCTTCCCTCCCTTCCTGCGCAGGAGTTACGGTGAAAGGTGTCTCGGCGTCCTTTTCCACTCACTGTGGCAGCCTCAGACGCCACGTTAGCCCAGGTATGGAGGTTTCTTTGGTGCAGAAAGCGTTCTGTTTTTCTTTCCTCCATCCCTCCTTTCCCCCAAGAGAACATTCAGTGTGTAAACAGAAAAGTCTAGCGGCAGAGTGTGCGTGAGGGCAGGGGGGTTATCTCTTTATACGACATGTGCAAATACAATCTATTTTAATAGGAGAGGAATAAACTGTCTCTGCCAACACGGTGCCTTCTTTTGTTGCCTTAGGTGTAATTTGGAGTGAGAAATTTCACAGTTTAGGAGAGAAGGAAAGTATTTTTCCAGGGAGATTGAATTAGGCTGTTTAATTCTTGGGCTTTATTTGGTCTATTTAGATGTTTGGAACGCAAGACCAAGTTCTAGTAGTCCTTGTTTAATAAGCACGGGTCAGGCACTTGGGAATTCGTGAGGTGGCTGAGTACTTTGCACAGATATGAAGCCACAGCATGGGATCTTCCTCTTCAGTAGATCAAGGCATCTACTTTTGTCCATGGTAAATCTTAAAACTACAGCACCTGTATCTGAAAATAAATGTGAAGCAATTTTAAGGGCTCATTTCTTCTCCATCTGAGTGCTGACTGACATACAAAAAGTTTACCTTTACAGGGAAATAGTGCTTAAAATTCCCTAAATTGTTTCTAGGACAGCGTTTTGCTAACACATGTATAGCAAGTGGGTCACATGGTTTCATAGGATAAATATATAATGGTTTGTGTTGGATATGGCTGCATACTTAAATCATGGTTTTGCTTCTTGTATGAAAGGGCATTATCCCATTTTCACACTATCATGGCCTTTGCCGTGTTGTCATAATCATCTTTTCTGTGTCTTCCAGCTGTGTGGTGCAAAGAGATAAAACGTTAGTCATCTGTCTGTTTGATATATTCTTCTGTATGTGAAAGGTTTCTTTAGAGCTGGTCGATCAACAGGTTCATTTTTTATTAACAAGGATACTGCTGAACTAACTTTTTTAATCTAGAAGTTTGGCCTGGAGTCTAAAATAGTTATCCAATAAGAACTTAGAGGATGAAACAAATTACAGGATTGGGACAAAATTATGTTGCAAACAGATCTGGAAAATATCAGAAAATATTAAGTTTGCCCAAAAATGGTGTCAGGGCCAGGTGGTGTCTTGACTGTTAAATTTGACTCCTCCCACCCAAGTGTGAAAGGCTATAAACTGGACTAAAAAAAAAGGCAAAGGAAGCTCACGTATGATACGTTTTCACACATCTAAATTTCTGTGACAGTGGGAACTAGATAGTGGCAATTGTGTACTTCGTACACGGTAAACCAGATGAATGTGCTGTGTGAGTAATATTCAAATTTCACGAACAAAAGCATCCTGGAACTGCTGGAAAGATAGAGCTATGGACAGGACATAGAGCTAGATAGAGCTAGGTCCTGGACAGACCCAGTTAGTCCATCTCTCTTTGCGCTCTCCCATGTATTTTCCCTATGTCAACAGGCAGCTCGGTCCTTCGTTACATTAAATGAGTTTTGTTTTTTTCCAGTAAGAATCAACAAGTTCTTTAATACCTAAGTAGGTAATTATTTCTTGGATTACTGCTTTAATTTCTGAGGGTAAGGCCAGCTGTGTACTTTGCATGTACTCTTCTAACTGTAGCCCCTGTGCTGCAGTAACTTTGCTGTGTATTTTAGCTGCTGTGCTTCCCTTTGATAACACCATCCTGTAATAATCTAGGCTGCTCCCCTTATATCCTAAGGTAATGTTAAGTACGTCTGCATACTAACTCGCTTTCTGCTTTGATAAACCTCTGCTTCCTCTGCTCCCAGGTATCAGTAGATGTTGCTGGACTGATCACTATCATACTCCAACAAAGCATTTGTGCCTGTGGTATCCGAACATACATGGGTTAGTCAGTTCATTCATTTTTAAGTGAACAAAACTCGCTCAGGACCTAGTCACTTCTGGCTTAAAACAAGGCTTTCCTCTTTGGGCACAGCTGTCTTCTGGGTGAGAAATGTCACAAGTGTAGGTCATTTGCCCTTGATCTCATCATCAGTAAAAGAGACTTGAGATGCAAAAACATGCTGTAACTCAGAGAAAACACTGCATGAAGAGCAGCAGAGGTGAAGAGCTATGAAATTTGGCTTCAGCACTCAAAAATCTTGTTCAGAAAAAAAATCTACAGTTGATTTTTCAGCGTGTAAACACAGAAACCCTGTTTCTTTATGAAATGCTATGGGAAAAAAGACAGGAGGAAGTACCCCCGCAATTTCCCCCTGCATGAGCAGGTGTGATGCTCTTTGTACTCTGTGGCTTCCCTGAATTTCAGTGTAATAGGCTGAACTGATCCAAAGCACGCAAGGATTGGAGCAGCATCGTCATCTTAGATGGCAGTGGGTTGACTGATTTTTCAGGTGACTAAACTTCATAAAGAAAAAAGATTTAAACAACAGACAACGCATGCATGAACAGTAGGACTGAGGCCTCTTGGGAAAAGTATCACATATACCTTCTTTCACAGCAAAGCTGGCATTTCCTTCTTTATTCACATTTTCCCCCTCTTGCACTTTTAGAAATTGAGCCAACGTGCACTGAGACTCCCTTAGCTTTGCCACGCTATTTTTCTTCGAACCCGAGCAGCAGCTACACTCACTGACAGCTGGCGTTCAGGTCCTGCCGCTTTACCTGACGGAGCAGAAAGCTTGCGGAGGTTGCTGCTGCTGCTGCTGCTGCCGTGGTGGTTGCCTCTGCTGTCATCCTCATCCTCCCCTGCTCCCGTTGCCTGGTGCTGCTGGCTGAGGTCCTCCGTGCTCTGCCCAGGTGCCATCGCCACCCCAGTGCTGCCGTTGCACCTTGGGCATGGAGCGCTTCACCAGGCAGCGGCCCTTCCCCAGCTGGTGAGGGGCACACAGGTTATTTTTCTCATGGCAGCAAGTTAGTGAAGCTGGCTGAAACCGAATGCAAACCGCAAAGTGGTTTGTGAACAACTTTGCTGCTATTTCAGCAGGCTTTGCCCTTTCCAGTGACACAGGCTGTTGCTATTCTTGGGAGCCTATTGCAGGCGAGGGGAGGGCCGTCTGTCGGAAGTATTGCTTTTGCCTTTTAACAAATAGTTGGAGCGCTGAGACATTCACACAGAACTCAGTGCATATTCTTTGCCCATTTGCTTAAAGGATCTCTCTCTCTCTTTCTCGTGTTCAAATACATAGTTTTTAACAGAAAAGGAGCACGGAAGGGGAGGATTTGAGGTGTGTGCTGTGTCAGCTGAAGTTCGGATGCTGAACACACAGACACGGCATTACTTCACTCTTTTAGATTGTGAGCAAGTTGTGGTGAGAAATAGCAGAGAGGAGAAAAGAGCGATGTCAGTCCTGTGCGGTTGGGAAAGGTAGGAGTTGTGACGATATATTTTTTCATGCTGTAGATGCATATGCTGTTTTACAAGAAAATAAAAAGACAGTCCACCCTCTCTCCCATGACAATTATTTGTGGGAAAACTGAGACAGTTTCAGTTGTACTGAGTCAAAAAGGGCTTGGTTTTTAAGAGTTGCTAGGAGTCACGCAGTCCCTACCAGCTTCAGGAGAAGCAGCGGGCAGAGGGTGGACAGAGCAGGAGGGGAAGGGCTGAGGCGGGCAGAGATGAACCACCGGGACGGGCCAGTTTATACAGTCCCAGTTGCAACAAGGGAAGAGCTGAGCGCTCTGCGTAGACCCACTAAGGGTCCAGGTTATCTCCAAAGGGAACCAGTGTTGTATCATCTGGCATTGCTGCAGCCTTCTTGTTTGTTCTCTTTCCTTCTTCCATAACTTGCTGTTTCGTTTTGGCTGTTTTTGTTCGCATATATTAATGTATGCAGATAGCATGGGAGGAAAGGCAGAGGTGGAAAACTGGTAGCTTCTGTAATATTTCCAGGAAGGAGAATTCCTAAACATTTCTTTCCTAAATTAGAGCAGACAAGATACACTCTTTATCAGTCTTTGCTTGACAAGAAAATTTGACAAAAGGCACTGTGTAACTGCCCCATCTGACAGGTATGTCACTGTCAGCTTCAGGAGCTGGAGCACTTGGGACACTACATGAGTAGAGATTCCAGCAGGGAATTTGTTTTTGGCAGTACGTTTGGTAGGGAGTTAAGGGAGTCAGACTGACTCTTTGCTCATGTTTATTGTATTTCCCATGTAAAATGTCTATCTGTCAGACAGTATGGGACACTACCAGGGCTATTACCAATTTCTTGTCATTTCCAGAGAAATGCTGTTTTCTCATGTGAAACATGCAAACAAAGAATGTCAGCTTTTAAAGAAATTTTTCTTATGCTTGAAGAAAAAAAAAGAGAGGCTATTTCTACTGGAGAAGGAGAGGAAATTTTTTCAAAGATTAAACTCAACTGTGACAAGATTCCTCTGCCATAACCAACCTTCTCTAACCGCTCACACCTCATATAGCTCACAACTTTGCTTAAAAAGGAGCTCTCTGGAAACTCATATTGTTTCAGTTAACTCTGCATCTACACGCTTGTTCCCAGCTCCTGAATATCTTTCTATATAATGATCCTGGAGAATTCAGAGAACTTTCTTGTTTCCTATGTTATGTTGTTGGGGAGCTAAACATTCCTCCCAGACATTTGCCTTCGAAGGGAGCTCAGTGGTTTGCTTCTCCTGCCCATAGCTAGCATCTGGGGAGGGCAGACCCTTCCCTGAAGCTCCTGAGTCAGTGATTCCCACTGGCTGCTGAAGAGTCAAGAGGAAAAGAGACTGTTTAACAGCAGGTTCAGCTTCACAAAGAACTGATGAGAGGCTCTTGGGGCTCTCAGTGAGGTCTCACAGAAAGAAGGGATGTCCCATCCCTCGGCAACCAGATATGCAAGAACTGACTACTTAATTTTGTTTTATTATTAGCTTTTACTATCTGACTGAGGGGACACTGCTTTACTGGAACTAGAGACTGCTGTGTGAAATTATCTAGCTTACAGCACTGCATAGGCAGGACTAAAAGTAAAAAGAGGTGATGGATATTACCCCTTCCCACAGTTGTGAAGAACTACAGTCTCTCCTTGTCCTCCTCGCTCCCCTAGTTCCACTCAAAATGGATTCTGCAAATCTTTATGAAGGCAGCCTGGGCAGGTGTTTCCATTCCTGTCACATTTGTAGAGAGCCCTTCTTCAGCTGTGAATTGAACCAGCTTCATGAGTTATAAGATATTATTTAATTTTGACTAGAAGTGATAGATGTGGCCCTTTCTCTTCATAACCTCCCCTCTACATGTAGTCCTCCAGCTACATGTACTAGTTATGTATAGCTGCTGGCACCTATATATATTGGAGAAATTAAAAACCTCTTAGGAACTGCATCCTTCCCCTGAACAAGAAGCATTCTACTTCCAGGAGTGGTAATAAAATGATAAAGTTGTTTTTCATCAAGTTTCAAAGTCTCATGATGAGCAGATTTTAAGTGATGAATGGTCAGTAAATACACCAGTGAATTCCATTCCATTGTTTTTAACAAAAAAAAAAAAAAAGAAAGATGCTTTAGACAAACAATGTGATTTATTTCACCTGCCTATATGCCTGAAGTTAGCGTGCTGTCAACATTCCCTTCAGAAACCAGAGCCTAGACTGATACAGAAATGTTTATCTACATGTTTACTCAGAAATCCAATGGGCTAAACTTTTCTTGCAAATTAAGTCTACATACCCCATTTTTCAGCCTAGCTCTACCCTTATGTCGTGGTAGATATGACAGCTGCAATGCAGCAATTGCTTAATTTTGCCTCTTGTAGTAACCTCATGAGATACTTACTTACCTTTCAAGCATGGTAAAGCAGCCAGTACACAGCACAAACCCTAAAGGTCAGTCAAAAATGAAGGAAGACATCATTATTCTGGCTGTTTTGCGTCTGAAAATTCATTTTGCTAATGCGTCATCATTTATAGAGGACATAGTGTTATTTAATCAGAAAGATTGGCTCATACAGTGGGTAGGGGACTAACTTGGCTAAACACTGTGGGTCTGCAGAACCCGTTGGGCTCTTAAAGGGTGCCAGCATAGCACGTCAAGCAGTGGTCCATGCCCTTAACCAAACTCCAACTCGTATTACATCCATGCTGACTAGTTGCAGTGCCACATGCAGTCACAAGCTTTAGGCTTGCTCGAGGACATAGTGTTATTTAATCAGAAAGATTGGCTCATGCAGTGGGTAGGGGACTAACTTGGCTAAAACCTTTGGGTCTGCAGAACCCGTTGGGCTCTTAAAGGGTGCCAGCATAGCACGTCAAGCAGTGGTCCATGCCCTTAACCAAACTCCAACTCGTATTACATCCATGCTGACTAGTTGCAGTGCCACATGCAGTCACAAGCTTTAGGCTTGCTCCAGGACATGGTAAACCTCAAGCACACACTAAATCTTTTGGGCAGGCCCAAGTGTGACTTAACTGAAATAAAGGTGGGTGAGGCACACCACTCAGTTGATCCTTTCATACATGTACCAGCTACCATGGCAGTATCCTGATACAAGCAATAACGTTTTCATGAGCTTGATGTGAGCCATCCTGGGCAGACAGGACCTTCATTAGAGGGGTTCTGTGGTGCGGAAAGGGCAGGGGCCTCTGTGGGCAACCTGAGTTTGGACCGCCCAGGGAGTAGTGCATGCTTGCCATACTGAGCAACAGTTACTGTGGACGTACCAGAGACTGGTACTATATCTGAATGATAAACGTTTCTCTACATCAGGTCTTGGGGAAAAATGTATTAAGTGGAAATGTGAAATATTTTAGCTCGAGATCTGCTTAGCATGGAATTGATGTATGGGTTTTTTGTGGAGTCATCAGTAGCCAGCTGATAGTGAAAAGCCACAGCTCAGCAGTTGGAAGAATCTGTTTTCACAGTTGTGGCTGAAAAGCTGAGGCATCGATGCCAGTGTTAACCGGCATCCTGGAATAGGAAGGAACTGGAAAAAGGCTGGTTCTAGTCAGTAAAAGCAATTGGGGGAGGAAAAGCAAAACAGTTTGTATTGTATACTATAGCCAGGGTGATCATAAAGGGATCTCATAAAACAGAGCAACTGGGAAACTCTGGCTGGTAGCCTGCAGGGTCCTGGTCACAGCACCCTGTATCCTCCTCCTTACTTCTAGCAGAAATAAACAAGCAAACAAGCAAAAAAAATCCAGCAGAGCAGATACAAAAAGAGATAAGGAGGAAAAGCAGGGAATGTGCTTCACTAATTCTGAATTATCTTCCATTATTTCCCTGATACTGCTATGCCTATGCATGCTATTAAAGCAGTTGCTTGGCTCATGTTGTCCAGCCACGAACTAGAGAAGAGAATGTGTCACTTATCGGAGAGAAAGAGAGGACCATACCTAAGACATACCTAAGTATGTCGATATCTGTGCGATATTAAGATGTGTCTCCCTCATAAGAATAAATTGGAGGCTTTGCCACAAGGCCTACAGCCTTGAGATAACTGCATGATCTGAGAGAGACCAAAGGCTCAGAGCAGATTTGGTAAGCGTAGCCCAAGGAAACTGTGTGTGCAGGGCAAGCTGGGGAGGACAGGCTTGGGTGCCGGGGTGAGCTGCGGCGGTGGCAGCGGCAGGGTGCCAAGGGCCGGGCAAGCAGCAGTGGCGTTACACAGACTCCAGGTCAAGAAACTTCAGGCACTAAATACAGGTGGAAAACTGTCCCAAGAAGGGACTGCGAGGAGCTGTGTGGTGGGAGAATTAAGGCTTCTGGGACAGGTAAGTGGGAGTGTTGGTACTGGAGGAGGACTGAAACAGGAGGGATGGGGAGACGGGAGACACTCTCTGCCCCTCTCACTGCTGCCTAGGAAAGGGGTCCCGCTGAAATCTGGGAGGGATGTTCCAGAAAACCCAAAAAATCCAGCACAGGATAGACAAGCAACTTCAAGACACTCCAGACAGTATCAGGAGAAGTACTAGTTGCACAACTGTGCAATTTAAGGCTGAGCAGAAGGGCAG